TGCCACCCCTTGTCTCATCGGCCAGACTTTGGTGACCAGCTAATGAGCCCCTATTTGGACTGTGGGTCAAACATTGGGTCGATTCAATAAAACAAGTGTGGTCTGTAGTCCACAGTTGAAAGTGGAGTGCCCCCTGATCGCTGATGTAATTCCTGAACCATATGGATCTATTTCTCATTATATTAATTTAACTGTGTTCATTTTATTATAAAAATTATTTTAGATTTATTATTTGAATTTTTATGAGTCTTTTACTATTTTATTTATAATTTTTGGACTTATAAAATGAAGGTATTTATTTTGCAAAGTTATAAAAATTCAAATAATGTTTTAAAATTATTTTATTAATTTTAAAAATTTTATAAAATCTCATGGGGACCCATAGTGCACATGGGCCCGCCATGTGGCAAGAGGTGAGGCCCACACGTGCCACATATGGGTGCCACATATGGGTGGCACGCCCCACCCCTTTGGATCACTTTTTGGTTGCTTTGTGATAAGTTTTAAAAGTTTGGAAAATGTATCTTATGACAAGTGATCAAATTGTATATAGTAAATATTGACCATATCTTATCTAAATGTGATAGCATATATTAACTTGATATTATTTGATATATTCTTATGGAATATATGAGATGGATTATGCAATTTTATGGAATGCATGATATTTTAATAGATTGTAAATTAAATATATTGATAGGAAAATGGTTTAAAGAAATGAGGACCATGGTCCATGCACATTCTATAATGTTGATGGCCTATTTATGGAATTGATAACTCAGATCTCCCACCCCACAAATCACCCTGATCAATAGTCTATATTCAATTTCAAGAAAGATGCAAACTATGAGAAACCCTAAAAAACCCTAAACCTACATTTGCACTATAAATAGGGGTGTACCCTCCCCTATTCTCTACACCTTCTCTGTCCCACAACTCTCTCTCTCTCTCATCTCTCTCCTAGAGGGCCACACTCCACTCTCTCTCCTCAAGGTTTCTCTCTCTAACCCTCTCCTCTCCTAAGACCCATAAGGGGTACGCCCCAACCTTAGGCCTCCTACTCTCCTCAAGTCTCTAACCTTTTCTCTCTCCTAAGACCCATAGGGACATGCCCCAACCTTAAGCTACCTACTCTCTCTCCTCAGGGTTTCCCTCTCTAACCCTCTCTCTCTCCTAAGACCCATAGGGGCCACGCCCTAACCCTAGGCCTCCTACTCTCTCTCTTTCTCTTGACCTAAAGATACTAAGGGTTGAGAAATTAGGGTTAATCTTAAATTATTTTGGGGTTAATGTTTTTGTAGAGATTTAAGGGTGCCGATTCGGTTTGGCCGAAATTAGTTTTATCAGTTCGAGATTGAAGCCAGACTACTGATCCCGTGCTATCGGATGTTGGTGACTCGGTGTGGGGTGTAATAAGCTCGGTTGAGGTAATATTCGGCATCTTCTTTTATTTCATTCAAATTTATCTTTATTCTCAAGCATAATGTTTAGTTGTATAAATGACATCAAGTGGTTGAGTCTTATTTTATTGTTAAGTTGCCTTTATTTTGAAATATTTATTGATTGTAATAAGGCCATCTGTAAGCGATCTTTTTGCCAAAGCAAAAGGGATGATTAAAATAATAATAATAATAAATAAATAAATTATATTCACCGGCAAAAGCTCACATAGGTCTTTCTTTCAAAATCATCACTCACACTTTTATTTTGCAGGTATTCTTGGAGTTCACATTGGATCGTGTAGAGAGACAAAACTAAAAACTCCGGTTATAAGGCCTTTCCTTGGTGTAACATGGAAGATAAAAAAAGGCAAGAAAAATCAGAGGGTGTGAGACCCACCCATTGTTCTGTTTTTTAACTATAATGCATTTTAATTGGATAAGTTGTAGAGAGAGAAAGTAACAGGCCCATCAATCATAGAGAATTTTGAGATATACTCATGATCTGATTTCGACAAAATTTTGTGAGTTTTCCAAATAGAGATTCTGGAAGAGATTGGCGCCTTCCTGGGGGATGGCATGTCATGAGTTGAGGTTCTCTCTTTCTCTTTTTCTCTCTTTGTGGAAATTGGTTCATCTATGGAAGCCTTTTTTTTCATTGTTTGGTTGTTTATGAAAATTCAAAATATTACTGTACTAAGATTGTTGTAAAGAATGTGGGAACCTTTACGGTAATTTAATTACCATAACTCTACCTCAACATATTACCTACTTCAACATATTACAGTATTTTAATTACCGTAGTGATCTTTCAATTTATTACGGTATTTTAATTACCGTAAAACTAAAATATAAAATTACCATAAAGCTTAATATGTTTTACGGTAAAAAGACTACCGTAAATGGTATTTTCATCCTAAACAAGCCGAAACTTAGGAAAAAGGGTGTAGGCGAGGTTTTGGAAAGTTGTGGTTTTTTTTTTCGATTTTATTAAGATATAGGTATATTAGCGAGAATTACCTTATATTTTTAAATATAATTTAATTCTAATTTTTAGAGAAATGAGATCATGAATATGGAAAAAAAATTTGAAAACTAAAAATAATTATTATATTAAAAAAACATTTGGACAATTAGTTGCACTCGGTTTTAGATGAACCATGTGTTTATGTCCCTCTTTAAGATGGATGCTTTATACCTCTAGACCACATATTGTAGAAATGCGGTCCAACCCGCACGAAACAATTTTTCTTTTTTTTTTGGTAAACGGCAATTTCCTATTATGAGCGTAAGTTATTTTTGTGTGCAAGGTTTAAGGATCGAAGTAAGGCGTAACTCCAAACTCTCCCTAATAATACAGTTTGTGGAAACAAACTTTTATTATGATGGCCTAAAAATCTATTTCATCTTACTTATTATTTTTGAAGTTCCAAAAATAAGGCCGATTAAATCTATAAATACTTGAAAAACTTGAAAATAGATGAATCAAATAATGCCGTTTACAAGATGTACTACTTTTTGGATTTGAAATCTTTTTTCTTTTATTTTTTTTTATATTTTACATCTAAATGTCAAGATGACCAATTTGAGAGTTTTTCAATATTAGAGCAACTTTTTTGTGTGGGTTTTTTAGATGCGCCTCTCTTTGATAATATAAGGTTGATGCTTGATATAATTTTTTTTGGGGGGCTTAATATTTACTTTTCTGGTTTTAGGCACATATATAGTATGCTCCCATAGGAGGGAGGATACTATACACTTGGCCCTTGGGTAAAAGACCAACTCGAGAAGATTTATTGTGACTTCAAGTTTTAGGATTACCAAATGATTATTTTCATAATAAAATTATATTTTGAGTTATTTAAATCTTAAATCTCACCATCTAAAAATTGGACAATTTTTATTAAATATTGAGTATTATCCCTGACTTACCGTAGAAAGACAATTGAGTCAATTTGCTATGTTAATCTTGTATGCCATCTCTCTTGTTACTTTTTCAGTGCATAAAATCTATCTTAGAAATGAATTTTGAATATAAAATTTGACGAGCAATATGTTTTTCATTTATGAGTCTTAAAAATAATAAAATCTTAAAGATGAATTATTTTATGAAATTGTCATTTAATTATTTTCAATTAATATATTTACAAGATTTAAATTTTATCTTTATTAAATTCATAATTGCAGTATATACACTTGTTAAATATTTAGATCTAAAATCATCATTTAAACCTTATCTCAATTATATGAGGTGATATTTTATATTTAAAATCTATCTTACAAATATTTAGAAGGGCATGCAAGAATTGCATCAAAACTCTTCCACTTTTAAATAACTTCTCTGATCTGCCTCGGTGAGTCTGATTCTCTCTCTAAGTGCACACAAGGTTTCTCTCTCAAGCTGCATTTTTAGTGAAACTTAATAATCCGGTGCCCTGTCTTTGCTTTCCCACACAACTCCATTTTTACCCCTAAAACCTGTCTTGCTTTCATGAAATATCTTGGGTAAAGAAAGCCAATGTAGGACCAGCAAAGAGAGGAAGCTTCTGGGGCAAAAATTGTAGTTTCAAGAAAAACAGCAATGGTTTCCAAGAATCACCTCAGTCTTTGCCTGAGACGAGTTATATCACTAAAACGATGTGATGCAAATAGTGAGATATGTAGGTCTTTTAAGGGATTTAAATGGTACTACTATCTGGACTTACCAGGGTCATCTACCCTAATGTGATGTTAATGAGGTTGAGTTGTGGGCCCTAAAACTTGGAGTTGTTAAATTGGACCAGACCTTATAATAAAGCGATTGTGAAAGGAGATTCAGCTAATGTTATAAATTGATGTAAGGACACGGGACAAACCCCTTTCAGCTAATGACTTGCAGAAAGGAAAGTTATCTTCCATGCCCATAAGAAGTGTAATAAGGAGGCAGACAAGTTAACAAACGGAGCAACAACAAAGCTTTTCTCCCAGTGAGATTATTGCTTCCCTTGTTGCATAGCGCTATCATGTATTCCTTTTAGCCACACCTGCATTTTTTTTTTCTTTTCTTTTCTTCATCTTTCCTTTTTGCCTTTTTATCCTGGTATAATCTTTTTATTTTCTCCATAAAATCTTGTTAACATTAAAAAAAAACTGAAATTCTTGAAAAATAAAAATAATTTTACTAAGAATTAAATAAAACCAAATTAACCTTAAAAACTCCAAAGAAGTTTAAATAAGTATAGAAAAAAAGGAGTTCAAAATTTAATTTATAGTAGAGGATATTTAAAACAAATATACAAATATAAAAATAAAGATTATGTCAAAAAGGAAAAAAAAAACTCACCACTCCGTGTCAAAAACTTCCACATCATATATAAAAATTTAAACAATAATTCCACACTTTCACAATTTTAATAGAATTTATTTCAATTTTTTATAACTCGCGCCCATAACACTGGTCCAATGGCTCTGGTTCGTGCATGAGAGAGAGAGTGAGAGTTTTATGTATGTTCCTGCTTACTATGGTGGCACAAAATCAAGTTTTTTTTTTTTTTGAAATTACACAAACAAGTTTCTTCAACGTCAAAAAACTCAATTTTTTCCCATTATCAGTATACATGTCAAAAAATGGATACAATTGAGTCATCCACCCATGAAGGGCCTCTCTATTCATACAACACTTAGCCTGGTTCAATGACTGATACAACACCAAGGTCCTCTCTCTCTCTCTCTCTCTGATCCCACATCACCTCAAGGGACTCATAACCCAACCCACTGTCGAGCCCTTTTTAGGTACTCGCATGGGCCGACCAGACCCACTTTGCAATCTCTCCAAAACTGTGTATGTTATTGAATCGGGTGTCAAACCCTGCAATTTCATCTTCTCATAAAGCTTCAAAGCCTCAGCCACTCTCCCTCTTCTCTCTAAACAATCAAGTAAAATATTATATGTAACAGTGTTAGGACTACATCCCTCTTCGACCATCTCATCGAAAAGTCGACAAGACATTTCAACCTTACCCAACTTGCCAAAACATTCGATGAGTGTGCTATAGGTGAAAACATCAGGATTCAAGCCTCTTTCTCTCATCTCCATAAACTTCATATGGGCTTCATCAAGCTCCCCATTCTTTCCCAAACAATTTATCAAAGAATTATAACTAATAGTGTCAGGTTTACAGTTCCCGTCTTCCATCTCCCTAAAGAGGTTAACGGCCTCATTTAGACAACCCGCTCGACCAAAGCTCGAAAGCAGGATATTATAAGTGAAAATATCAGGTAAAACCCCATCTAACGTCATCTGTTCATATAGAGAGAGAATGTCTTTTACCAGTTTGAGCTTGCCAAGAGCTGAGAATACCATATTGTACATCACTGAATCTGGAAGTAACCCATATTCTTTGATCTTAGAGAGCAAATCCGTGGCTTCTTGGGTCTTACCAGAATTACAAAGGTTTTCGAGCATGGATACATAGGCAGTTCTATCTCCTCTCGGGCCCAAGTTCCACATATTACAAAATAACTTGTGGGCTTCACTTGTGTGACCCAAATTACTAAGAGTTCTTATGAGATACGCATAGATAGATTTATTTATGAATATCTTTGAGATTTCGACAACATGGTGAAGTTGGTCAAGCTTTCCTTCTGCAATTAAGGCATCTAGAATCACAATGTATGTGAATTCATTGGGTCGACAATTATTCTCGACCATTTTCTCAAAGACAAAGATGGCTTTTTCCACCATGGAATTCTTGAGGAGAGCTTGAATCATGGTGTTATATGCTATCAGGTTCAGTGCACAACCTTTCTCTATCATTTCTTTGAACAGAGAGAGAAAGTCGCTGGCTTTCCCTTTCTTGCCCAATGTTCTGATGAGAATGGTGAACGAATACTCGTCAGGTTCGACATGTTTGCGCTTCATGTCCATGAAGACCTTGATAGCACGTTCAACCTACCAAAAACATGAAAGTAATATAACTGTTTAGTTTTGTAATGTTGAGAGTAGTATAATTGACAGAAGTAATTATATGCAAATAGTTGAATCAAAGTCGGAATAAGAAGTGTATTAAAGAAAATTTTTGAAAGAAAGCAATATGCATGAAGATCAGAAGTTTATTTTGACTTACTTTTAACATTAACTTTTTGTTCTACATAGCCATTCCAGCAGTTTTAGATTTTAAGGTAACTGCAGTCACCTTGTTGCCTCTATAGGCAAACGACAATGGAATCATATGTAATTGTGCAGTATCGAAACACGCAATTCTAATTTTTCAAACAAGACTAAGAATGCTAATTTGAAGTCATTTGCCAATAAGAAACCACTTGATGCTCAAGGAGTTTTTCTGAGACTGAATCATCTATAATCTGAGACACTTGTTCTGCTTTATGTAAAGCAAACATGCTTAACAACTCATCTTTTTTATTTTAATCAATACATACTTTCAACTCAGCTTCCATGAAAATAATTTGGAGACGTTATTTGAAAAAGAATTTAAGAAAGAACGAGTATGAGTGGTTCCTGCCACTATTGTAGATCTGGTATAAGCAACTATGTTTCTGCCATCAAAGGCTTCATCTTATATGCCATTATTCAAGATTTGAAGCAATTAGTAGATCTAGTTTAACTGATTAAATTTGGTTCTCGTACACTCTCAAAATATTTCCTTACGAACTTTTCTCTCTCTCTCTTTTTTTTGTTAGTACGGAAATCTTATATGCCATATTCTTGGACAATCCCTTGAAATGGACTATGGATGCAAATTATGCATTGGAGGTTTGGACCATGTACAACGAGGGGAGAGGGGTTTTACTATGATGCCTTCTACAATGACTTGACCTTCAATGAGGAGCATTTTGGACATATTCAATCCTGGCAAAAAAGGCTGTTGATGTAAATAGTTAGCTTTTTTGACATCTCAATTGCATTTCGTATCCACAGATGTGCATAGTATTATCATGTTTGAATGAATAGATAGATAGATATAGAATCTTTTGGTGATTGGGCAACATGATATGATTACTGGTTCTTGCTAATCCTTTCTCAATTTGTCCTAATGTCCCTAAGCACCTGAGTTTCAAGAATGGCTTAGGGCCCAAGGCAGCCAATCAGAGTTTTCAGTGCCATGTTTATGGCTGATGACTGAGTGCCAGTGATGATCTTGTTGCACGGTGAATTGCTACAGAGCCTCTTGCACACTTTAAGCTCTCTTATGCTAAGTTGTCCTCTAAGTTTAGATTACCTTTTCCCATTTCATCGAGCGGAATTATTGTGAGTCCTCTGTCCCTATCCCCAGAAGTTTCCTCTGTCATTCTAGTATTGTGACATATTTATGGCTAATGACTGGGTACCAAAGATGATCTTGGTGCACTGCGAATTGCCACAGGGCCTCTTGCAGTCTTTGAGCTCTCTAATGCCAAGTTCGCCTCTAAAGTTTAGATTACCTTTTCCCATTTCATCACAAGGGTGGCATTTGTTTGGCAGTTTGTTGGAGCTATAGCCCATCCGCTGTGCTAGTATCTTGAGATTGCCCCTTACAAAGGCTATTGCTATGACTTATATTTTAGCTATGTTTGCCTGAAGTTCCATTGTGATCTAAAGGCACCTTAGGAACAACTAGAGGCCGTTGATTTGCTGAGGTTGGGCTTTGTAAAACACCAAGTTATTCTCCACATTCTGTAGATGGAAATATGGGATATGCTAGGCCCCTCTTGAGATGAACTGGGTGAGAACCAGACTTTATGCACTATTGAGATGGATACGGCAACAGTTGTTGTCTTGGCGTACACCCCTTTTTTTGTATGTACTTAAAATTAATTAAGTATGAAAGAGAGGCATGAAGAACACAGAGTACACAAAGTGAACTACCATATATAAAAAAATTGGACTCTTTTTGAAGAATTGCGCTAAATGCTGTAAGGAACTCTAATCTATATTTCCCATCCTTTGCTTGAAATTACATGTTGTCTCCTCTCCAAATATGTAGAGAAGAGCTTGTAATCTTGTACATATGTTGAAAGTTTCATCAAAATAATGAACTAATAGCCAATGTGGTCTAACAAGGTGAGGACCTTAAACTTTTTCTTAACCCATCTCAAACCGGGGTAAAAGAGGCGGGTTGCGTTAGGTAGGCAGCCAGCATAAAACTTTGCCACATTTTATCATGAATCCTGAAAGAAAAATAATAAGCAATAAGATGAGCAAAAGTAGATTTAGATGGGCCGGTCATGTACAGCCATAGACCCTACTACATCACCGGTTAAGAGGTGTAATTAGGTTCAAGTGGAAGGCTCTAAAAAGGTAAGGGGAATGCCTAAAGGACATAGATATAAGTAGTGAGAAAAGATGTGGTGACTTTTGATCTTATTGAGAGTATGGCCCTTGATAGAGAATAATGGAGAAGCAAGATTTAAGTAGCTCCAAGTCATTGGGATAAGGCTTGCATGATGATAAAAATTTGTCACTATTTTCAAGACCTTTGCTCTCATGACATCATGGACCAGCAAAATTGTGTTTGATTTTGATAAGCATCATATAGAAAACCTTTTCTCTTATATCTAACTCTTCATGACCTTCTCTCTTAAATGCACTATTCAAGATCTTCTGGGCAAGCTGCAGAGTTCATCAAACACATCCCTTCCAGCCCATCAAGAAAAAATTGACCAGATAACATTTTTGTGATCATCGTTCATTTCATTTGTTCATCCATCATAACTTCCCTTGAGGTGAAGAAGTTGTAGTGTCCCTCATAAAACCTTGCAACTCTTTCTATTTAGGATTCGTCCTTTAATCCTCGTGACATCAATCATCTACCTCAAACAATCAATAAAGTTCTAACATCCACCAACTTTCCACAAGTATATCCGTGTGAAGATCCACAAGATTTAGTTGTTCAAGTAATAGAAAGCTACACCACTCTATAGTATTAAGTACAAATACACTCTTAGTTGCAGATACAATGAACTTGTTGCAGAAATTTTAATAAAAGCACAAAATCTAATGCTCTCTGGAACAAGACAGGTTGGATAGTTTTTTTCTTTTTTTCAGGGACAAAGTTCGAGGGTTCCAAACATTCACCTTCCTCACACAAATTGGGTCTCTTACTATTGCAATGAAGCACATATTGACCAAATTTAACACTCTTTGCCAATACAATGGCAATTTCTCATGGGAAATCATCTTTTAAGCCCAGTTAAAAAATGGATAAGACACTCAATTTGAAGTATTCACGCTTCACAGCTTGAAACACTAGGTATCAGACCCAAACTAATTGCCATTATCATATCCTACACTACAACCCACACCACTATAGAACTCTAAACCAACTAACACTATGCCCCACCAATGAGCTAACACCCCAATATTTGGGCAACTGGAGTTTATAGTTATCCTTCCCATTTTAACCAGGTTAAATAATATGAGAAAAAACTCCTACTGAATCATTTCTAAATTTCAGACTCTCATACAGGGACCAGTAGGACATAAAATACACCAGTATGTTAGATCGCAGCGTGTTGATAAGGGTTATGCTTCCTATCCAAGTTAAAGAATGATTCTTCCAAAGAGCCAACCTTCCCTCATACCTTTCCATGAAAAGATTCCACAAAGTCATGTCCAGCTTCTCAATAGATAAGAATAGTAAATAGAAACTCGTTTCCAAGTCAGGAAAAACTTGCCAAGTCAACTCTGATCGTTTTATAACATTGAACTGGGTCTGATTCCCATAACTAGCACGCTGTTTTTTCAAAATTCTCTCACAAAATTTTGGAAAATCACCAGTTTTTCCTAGTTCAATGTTTGATTCAGTGACTTGACTCGGTTTTGGCAGTGAATGAGGGGCTACTAAATGTAAGATTTTAAACACTGGATAAGAGTAAGAGAAAAACCAAGGTATTAACATGGACACACTTTGCATTTACAACCTCAACTAATCTCCTGATACTCATTCTTAAAATGATTCCTATGCAAGAAAATGGTCCTTGGATAACTGACTCTTAAGAAGCACATTTACCTATATGTTTGCTGTGTTTATCTGTGTGTGAAAAGAAAGCTACGAAAGAACCAAAGCACGGAAATATTTGTTCAGGCATATGAATTTTTTTACTTCACCACAGTGAATGTAAATCAAAATATTCACTCAAAAGGATGGGATATTAAGTCATTCCCCAACTCCAATCCGATAAAACCAATTCTACATCTAAGGTAAAGTTCTTAAGTGATTTAGAATGTTGGAATGAAAATTCTTGATAGTTTTCTTTTTAAATTTGGAAGTGCCATTACATAAAATCACAAAATGGCGTTGCTCTTCGATAATTCATATGCCGCAGAATTGGCGTAATTTAGACATGAACTGCAATTAAAACCCCCATTTCAGACCTTCTCCAAACACTCTTGAAAGAATAGTTCAAATTTTAAAGAATTTATAGTTTGGAGTAACAGTTTTTTATCAGTACCATAAATGTTTGCTGAAAATCTCACATAACATATGATATGTGGTTTCTGATTAAGCATCTTGGCTCAGAGAGAGAGAGAGAGAGTAATTAATAGAATTCACAAAACAAGAAAGACATGAGCATAAACCACAAGAAAAATGTACAGAGTAAGCTATCATCACAGAGAGAGACAGAGCATAATAGAGATGTGTCCTGGGTAAGCTATCACCAGAGAATAAAGCAGAGAGAGAAAGAGAGCATAAACCAAAGAGAAAAAAAATTGTACATGGCAAGCTATCATCAGAGCATAAAACAGGAAGAGAGAGAGAACCTGATCATCTTTTGCAAGAGCATCAAGCAACATATTATACGCGAAAATGTCGAGCTTATACCCACCCCTCCTCATCTTCTCATAAACACCCACCGCCTTCCCCACGTCTCCCGACCTCAAATAAGCCTGCAACAAGCACTTGAACGTGTACCCATTAAACCTCAACCCCCATTTCTCCACCAGACCAACACATCTCTCTAAATCACTCTCTCTCTCTGACCCACCATAAATCCCAATCAAAATATTCACAGTAGAGATGCTCCCTCTCACTCCTTTCCTCTCCATCTCATCCCTTATCAAACCCACATCATCGAATCTCTCATTCTTCGCCATAATCGTCATAATTCGATTGTAAGTGAAAGAATCATGCTTAACGCCTGCAACTTCGCTTGAAAACCTGAAAAATTCAAGGGCTCTTTTTGGGTTATTCTCTCCCTTCAAAATTTCGCTGGTTTCGAGTGTTGTGAGCTGAGTTCCAAGAGAGAGAAAGTACTCTTGAAGGTCGAAAGGCCATTCTGGAGAGTTTTTTAGGATGTTCAAGACTCTGCAAATTATGTCTTTTCGGGGATATGGGTAACCTCTGGGATCAGAGGGCACATTGGGGGGAGTGATTTGAATGGAGAGGTGGTTACTGTTGGTTGAGGATTTGGTGAGGTGGGCTGTGTATTTTGTGGCGTAGGAGCGAGAAAGTGGAGGTGGGGTGAACAGAGTAGAGAGAGAAAGAAAGCGGAGGACCCTGCGCTTCATTGCTGGTTTCGAATTACGGGGAAACAGGCGCCATTAGTACACTGAGAGAGAGAAAGAGAGGGGCAGGAGGCCTTCGGGCACACCAAGATACAGATGCGCCTAGAAAGAGATGAAGAATGTGCTCCACTTTTTTAAGAGAGTGAGATGGAGAGAGAGCAAACCTGACCTGAATTCGGACCTGAATAGTATTCGCCTGCTCTAAATGTTGGCCCATACCGAGACGCATTTCGGGTGGGTTGGGTCTAGATCCATTGCCACTCCTAATCATACCTCACTTTTTAGAGATAGAGAGAGCATGGCCTCACGGTTTTAACTTTTAAGAGATAGAGAGAGATGAGCCCACGCTGTCCTAAGTTCTAAGCGAGAGTAGAGAGATTGTCAAGCCCAAGCCTAACCCAGCCCAAGCCCAAGCCCAAGCCCAAGCCCAAGAGCTCTGGTTTGAGCAAGTATACTCCCTCGGGAGCATAGTGTCGATTTACGTCTTTGGAGAAAACAATTGCCGAGGAAAATCTTTGGAATTTTTTGATCTCTTTGAGAATTATTACTCATTATAATATGGGATAATATTCTTTTAAAAAATAAATTTTGAATTTTGAATTCTTTTAACATTTTGATTGTCTAAAAATTGAATGGTCTATAACTACGCATGTAACTCAAATATGTTACTTTTTCTCGGGCTCAAAGGATGTTTTATTTTTGGGAAGATTATAGATACGCCTTCGGACTTCTAGCCAATGCCCCCCCCGCCCCCCCTCCTCCAAGAAAAAGGCCCCCATCAAAATATTAACAAAAAGTTTATGCATAGCAGACGCTCTAATTTTTAAATAATCAAATTAGAGCCTACCTCAAAAATTTCATTAGAAGAGGTTGTTTTGATGTCCAAATATTCTCAAATTGATCATCTCGAAATCAATATGCATGAACATGAAGAAAAAATGAATTTCAAGTTTTGAAAATAGTACATCTTGTAATGTATTTTTGAACCGTCAATTTCAAGATTTCATAGATCTACTTGATCTACACTATTTTTGAAGTATTAAATTTTATAATTAAAAATGAAAATATATTTTAAGGCTATCACAAATATTTCTAATTTTAAAACCATATTTTTCAATACTATTTGAAGATGCGCTTTACTTTGATTGTTTAGAGCCTCGGCTCTATAGAAACTTTGATTGGAAAATTGTTTCATAATAAGTAAAGCCTCACCACATAACTCATCAAAAATTGCACTTATGCATTAGAAAACCTTTCATCCACTATCTTGTCTTGAATACTACAATTGTGGAAAAACTTAAGATTTCAAGCTCTAAAAATAGTGTATATTGTAGCAAATTATCTAGACCGTCCATTTCACCCTAAAAATAAAAGTTCATAGATCTGCAAGATCTTTACCATTTTTTAAGTTTCAAAATTTATTATTTGTGTTGAAAATTGATTTTAAAGCCATCACGGAGATTTTCATTGCCAAAAGTGATTTCCGGACATAAAGCCAGGGCCTCATAGAAACCTCATACATATATAGTTTTGGGAAAAAAATTATAGAAGGTGGCAACCTTATACTATATAAGTAAGGTACATGTCAAAAATCTAACAGAAAAGAGTGTTTTAAAGTGGGAAAACCTTCTAATTAATCATCTCGACCTTGAGAGGTAGGGAAATAAAGAAAAAAAAAAAATTTAAAAGTCCAAAAAATACTGCATCTTGTAATAAGCTATATAGCCTGTCTATATTTAAGATTTTCAAGTGATTATAAATATGCTCTATTTGTACCATTTTTTTAATCTTCAATTCTATAAATAAAGTCAAATACAATAATTCAAACCATCACAGGGTTTTTGACAGTGAAACTACATCCCTAGACAAAATTTAGAGTGTGCCTTAATTTTACAATATAAGGAGGCAACATTATTTAAACATCACCCATACTTTTGATACTACACTTTCAAATCTAAAATTGTTTGTTTTAGCATCCACACTCCCAAGGAGAAAGGGACAACCTTTTCTAAACCAGAATATCCTCGTTTTAACCAACATTTCCTACTTTCTCTCTTTCAGCCGTTTTATGTTGAACTGGTAAAAATTTCAATATAAGCCGGTCCGATGCATTTTTACCATTCGAGTATAATATCCATCGGGAACGTTTTGTATCGGACTGGCACGTTTAGTCACAAGTCGGTCCATCATATTTGGTGATGGACAGGTACATGTTGAGCATCACAATTTGGAAAAATAGGTATGGGCTACATTTAGAGCCAAGGCCAGCCCAATTTGGCCTATTCCAGTTTTATTTTTTTGTTATTTTTTCTATTTTTTTTTCATTTGTTGTTGGCCTGGCCCAACCTGACCCTAATATAGCCAGGGCCGGGCTTGGGCCAGTCCTAAAGGGATAAATGCTGCCCTGGCCCGTTGCCACCCTTTACCCAATACATGAAGATCACATGGGGTTGCCCAAGCACATAGTAATTACCACTCGACCCAGTATGTTTTTAATAAGTTCATTAAGAACCAACATTTTTACATACAATATGTTGTTAACATACATAACCAATGAAAGAGGTTATTCTTGAGCATGAAATCTGCCCCATTTATATATGGGTGCAGTTGGCATACAGACGCCTCCGTAGGTGTAGAGGTACGGTGCCTTCCAAATTTTATCATGGTATATAATTTTGATGTGAAATGTCAT